TGTTTTGTTTCCATGTCTAGTGAAGAATCTGTATGGTATTAGCATGACCATCCCTAGATGGTAATACTAGTCACAGACAGGCACACATAGCTCATCTTTTAAAAAATGTATTGAAATTTAGTTCATATACCATACAATGTACTTATTTACAGTGTTCAGTACAGTGGTTTCTAGCATATTTACAGAGTGTGCAACCATCGCCATAGTCCAGCCACCCCAAAACGAACCCCCATATCCAGTAGTGGTCATTCCTCTTTCCTGACTCCTTACATCTAACCCAGCCCCTGGGGTGGCTACTAATCTTCTTTTGACCTCTGTGAATTTGCTTATTCTTAACATTTCACATAAATCAGATACATATACCAGAAAATGTAACACGTGGTCTTTAACATTTGTTTCTTTAGGGTGTTTGAGGGGAAAGGGTGCCCTGCTACTACTCTTTGCTCACTATTCTACATGTTTGGATGTGAATTGTGTTTGCCTAGAGAATGAGGCATCTTTTCCTAATATTCACGAAAGCACAGAATTAGCTAGTAGAAGTCCTGCTTTTAGTTGCACTCAATACTTTCTTGCAATGAAAGTTTCCTAATTTAATACATCATTCATCACATTCTCTTGTAGTTTGCTGTATAATTTGAATGCCCCTAAACACTGAACTCCATGAGGGACAGGACCAATGGTATGAATCAATCTAACCTATGTGGCTGGCACATAAGTAAATGATAATAAATGCTTAATGACCAAGGGGGATGGGAATTTTTATATTATTCAGTTAGTGCCATTGAAGGCTGTGCTTATGAGATGCCAAACATCTGGATCCTTGAGAATACTTGGATGGCTGACTGAATATTTTTATCTTAATGTGGATGTTTTGGCATCAAGTAATGTAACCCCAAGCTTAGCCTGCAAAAATCAGGGGCCCTTGCTCTTTTATTTTCGGATGTGGTGAGATGCGGAACCATCTCACAGATGAGTGACTGCTATTTAACACGCTGTCATCCTAACTCTCAGGGAATTTCCTCCAGGGGGTCATAAGGCAGCCAAGAGTCCTTTGGGAAACCTTCCCTCATTCCAGATGTTAAGTATATGACGAGATGTGTTCCAATGTGTTACTGTAGGCAGACTCGGAAGAGAATTCAAAAAAGGAAATTGGTAGCTAAAGTCAAAGATCCTTTATGGGATCAGAGGCATGTGACAGATGTCTTGGTGTTAGAATGATTGCTGACTTTTTTATCTTCCCTTGTCCTTCAAGCATTTTCTCTCCAGACCCTACTTCCAGATTGGCCATGTAACTGGAATCTAATAGGAGGGTTAACCAGAGGAGCTTAGGAAAGAATGGAAAGCATTCTCCTCATTCTTAATTGGTTTATCACACTTTCCATGTCCTAAGGGTGTTTTGATTTAAATTCTAGTTTAGGCATATTTGAAGATACAAACTCATTTTTATCGTATTTGAAAGCAAATATATGTATAGTTTTTAATTTAGTAGATTATCATATTATTTTTCCTCTTTGAGTTTCAAATTCTGTTTTTAGAACTTAAATTCAAGCTTTCAACATTTTAGAGTAGAAAACAGAAAATAATATAGCATCTTGTCAACATGAGGACTTTTTGTTGTTGTTGCAAGTGATGCCCCACAACTCAAAGTGACTTAAGCAAAAAGACAATTATTAACTCGTACATGTAAGTAATACAAGGGTTAATCTAGCTTCAATTATGGCTTCATCTTGAACTCAAGCAATGTCTCCAGGCCTTCTCCATTATACTAAATTCCCAAGTTTTTCACAGTAGCAAAATGGCTGCAACTGCTCCAGCTCCTGCTTATTCTCAAGTTCACATCTGGTGAAAATGAGAACCTGTATCTACTAAGGGATTCACAGCCCAAATTTCATTGCATCTCATTTGTCTGTTGGGTTCATATGCTCATTCCTTAATCCATAACTGTGATCATGGGAATAAGAGGCACTGATTGGCTAAGGCCATTTATTTCACACTTGAGCTGAAGGAGGAGCAAAGCACCTGTGGGGGAAGAGGGGAAATTCTCAGACTCAAATCAGTGGCTTTAGTCAGAATAAGCAGAAATAGATTTGGGGGAAAGCAAACAATAAATGTTCACTCAACTTGCATTTTAGTTCTGTTATTTTAATACAATAGGTTACTTTAGGGTTAAAAAAAAAAAAGAAGAGGCCTAAAATTCTGCACCCAGCACAATGCATGGTATGTGTTAGTTGGCTCAGTAAATATTGGTTAAGTGAATGAATAAATAAGTCACTAAATGTATCACTCCCCAACCCATGTGTCCTCTGAACTCAGGAGAAGGTGGCAAAATGTTTGTTTGGTCCCTCTGAAGCCCCACTCTTTCACTGATTATAGGACATAGCACCTCTCTCTCCTTCCACAAATGGTCAAGAGAAGCAGCCCAGAGCACCACGGCCCCTGGATTGTTTCAAGTTCACTGATTGCTTTACACCCTGGAGAGGGGGAATGGCTGTTTTTCAGTGATCTCCTGTGCCAATCCTGTGGAACACCTGGCCTTTGGATGTGGAGCACCTAACACTGGGGTTTTATTCTTGGCTTTAGGGTCCCACCCGGAACCCAGATAGAACATCCTATCAACATGGTGTTACATATACTTCAATACAACCAGTGAGTCCTCACTCAATGCTGTCTATTGGATCTGCAACTTGAAGTGAAATAATACACAACAACACCACTTTTACCACAGGCTACTTGACAGAAACAAGAGTTAGGTGTCTACACATCTCATCGGTGTAATAATGAGATAACATTGAACCAATGACGTTATGTGAGGATTTGCTGCATAAAGGAAAAAGCATCTAGAGAGAGGAAAAAGGATAAGAATGGCGAAAAGCAAGAAAGAGAAGATGGTACCTGCTAGCTGGAGCGTGACGATGGCACCACCTGCCACCTGGAAGGAGACAGAAGAGCACTGTGTAGATGCTGCCTGCAGGAGAAAACACACACCGGAAAAGCAGAAGAAAAGCCTAGTGTTTTATACACAGGATCCGGCACATATAATGCCCTTTATACTACAAAATCATAGCCATGTAATTCTGTAACATAATATCACACGCAAGCACACGATATGACATTTTAGGTGAAATGCTCAAATTAAAACTATATATCATTATACCTGTAATATTACTCTACCAACCACACTCATGCAGGCGTTACTTCAGCCAGACCCAGTATATATAAAAAACGCTTTAAGGTGAGCAAACGAGTATCATTCACATACAGTCCCAGCTCCTTTCACTCGTTTCCTCTGCGCCGGGCCGAGCAGGTGCTTCCTAGCGCAGGTGCACCCTAGCTAGGGGGCCCGCCTCTGCTCGTCATGGCTGCTTGTGTCTTCTGGACGAGCCAGTGGGTTTTTGAAGCTGGATAGTCTGGAGGCTGGTCTGTCAGGTACCAGGCCTTAACGTCAGAGCGCCTGTTGGGGGCTTCCAACCCTTCACTCCTCCAGGAGAAGCGCCAGGTGTCGGGTTCCCTCCGGTGCGCGTCGCTGTATTGGAGGTGGGGTGCATGGTGACCTTGTGCCCCAGATCCTCGTATCCGCTTTGGCGCCCCTGAAAATTCCTTGTGTCTGAGGAGCAGGGGAGCTCAGGCTTCCCCTATGTCACTTGAACTTGAACTTCTCTCTCCTTGAGCTGGGACGACCGTCTTCTCCTGCCCCGGACTCTCGGGCCTTCATCCCGGGAAGTTACCCCAGAGGTCCCTCGGGGCTCCGGGCTGCGACGCGGCCAGAATTATGCCAGCGCTTTCCCCGGCCTCCAGCCCGCATGCCGCACGCGGTGCCTCTGCTCAGCCTTCATGGCTACAGAACCGACTGCTGTAATCTCCCCTTAAATATACAGGGCACCACACAACTAACACCTGCTTGGGTGTGATTGGTAGGGTAATAATATGAGTGTAATAATTTATAGTTTAATTTGAACATTTCATCTAAAATGTCATATGGTGTGCTCAGGTGTGATATTGTTATGTTACAGAATTACGTGCTTTTGATTTTGCAATAAAAAGGGGTGTTATTTGTGCCAGACCCTGTATCTATATCCATAGGTTATTGGTTCTGTTTCTCTGGAGAACATTAATAAAGTGCCATAACAAATTAAAGCAAATTAGTGAATTGAGACAGCACTCATTATTTCACAGTTCTGGAGGAAAAGAGAAAACCAATGGGCTTAACTGGTTTCTCTGCTTTGAGTCTCAGAAGACCAGAATCGGGGTGTTGGCAGGGTGGGCTCCCGTCTGCAGACTGAGGGGAGACTCTGTGTCCAGGCTCCCCGGTAATTCCCCTTGAAGGGTTGGAAACCCACAGCAGGCACCAAGGAAACAGGAGCTGTAGCACCAGCCCCTGTCTCCTTTGATGGCTGTCATCTGTGGCCCCTCCTAGTCCCTAGAGTCCGCTTTTCAGAACTCGCATGGAGCCGTTTGTATCCCAGAACCAGCTATGGGGTCAGGTCCTCACGCTGCTGCCTGATGCCGCATCTCAGTGCCTCCTGTTCTTCTGATCCTAAGGGTTCATGTAACTAATTATGCTGGCCCTATCTGGTAATACAGGGTGATCTCCCTGTTGTCAAGTCCATTGATTAGTAGCCTTAATTCCATTGCAAAGCCCCTTTTGTCACGTCAAGAGCAAAAGACATGGAGATGAATATTCTGCCTCCAGACGTGGTATTCTGTGTTCTCTTCCAGAATGCTTGTATCAGTTCATGCTGCCCCCAGCATTGTATAAGAATTTCCATTTCCTCCTTCTGCTCAAGCATGGGCCTTATATTAAAGCAGTGAAAATTGCTGTAAGAAATTTTACACTTGATAGGTGAAAAAGCATCTCAATGTTGCTTGAATTCTGTTTCTAAGATTATTAATGAAGTGGGGTTTTAAAGGACCTCTTTTGAAATGGTCACCGCAGAGATCCATACAGATTGCAGCGGGGCCCTGTGGCGGGAGGGTAATGTGATTATTTCTCTGCTCTGCAGCCTGGTGTGGAAGAGGAGCCGCTGGGGATTGTAGCGAAACCAAAGCAGATCGGCAGCAGCTGAATCAGTGAGGAAGGGATTGCAGTCGATGGTAAATTCACCAGGACTGCTTTGCCAATGGCTGGCATGTGTTTTGACACCCCCCCACCACAAACCCCTGTCTTTTTGTTTTAGCATCTTGTGCCAAATGTGCCATAACATACTTCACAGATTATTTATTTCTCACTAAAAAATAAATTGATGCCAGATTCAGGTTGCTTTCAAAACAAAGGATGTGAGAACCAAAAAATTTGAATTGTAGGATGACTGCTGAAGGATAAAAGAGAAACATATTGAGAAGCCAGAGCACAGCGGGGATTGTTGATGGTCTGTCATAAACTTGGTAAGATAAATACATGCATTGAAGCAAAGTCTTGTATTTTACACACATAGTTAATTTCATGAAAAAAAATGTGATAGCATCTTGGTTCTCAATTCAGAGAGACTAGGAAACTGCACATGGACTTGGATTTTATCCACATGTGTTAGGGAAGCATTTGGCTCAAATGACCTGGATTAGGTAACATAAAGGCTATGAATTCAAAACCTTGGCTTTGTTTGTATGGACAAAGTGAATGGAAAACTTGGCCAAGGCTGTTATGTTAAAGTCTGCTGATAAATTGTCTAAAATATCAGACCAAGGTTCCTAGCACAGCAGTTATATATACTGCCTTTTAACAACCCACAGTTTGCATTATTGTAACTGATTCATGCACAGGCAGTATTCACTTGACTTTATTTAGAAAATGAGGAAACGAAAGTTTACACAATAGTGATTAATATTGTGGGGGCAAGTAGTGACTGGAAGGGGCTTCTGGAATGCAAATAATGTCCTATTTATGGAATTAAATGCTAGTTATACATAAATGATTAGTTTGTGAACCTATGGACTTTGCACTTATGCTATATGCACTTTAATGAATGTGTATTACGATTAAGTAATATATTTAAAAAGAAGGGGGTGTGGTAGTGGTGAGAGATTAAGTTTGAGAATAGTTTTCAGGTGTTGCAAAATCTCTAAAATTAGAGGTTGTTATAGGAAGTAGTTTCATCCATTCCTAAGGTTATGGGATTGTGGTCTATATTCTGGGTTTAAACCCATAGGTGTGTTTGATCCATGGGTTTAAATAAAAAATAAATTAATTGTTAATCACTAAATATGGAGAGAATTCACTTACATCAAAATCAAGACTGCAAGTATCCTCTGAAAACTTAGTGCTGGGCTTATGTTGCCACCTCACAACCAGCTGGTGGAACAGAGTAGAAGCTACCTGTTCACAAGGCCTCAACTTCCTACTTTGCCACAGTCCCCAGCATCCCCTGTGGTTTCTCTGACAACATTTTTGACCTCTATTGCTTGTCAGTCAATCTAATTGAATGTGCAATTACCGATGGAAAATTACAATGTGTCACATAGACCCAAATACTGGGTAGCTTTTTGATGTGGAGTAAGGTTTGGTTTATAAAGAACACAGAGAGGGATGTGTTTGGCCATGTGATGGTTAACCACATCAAGAAGACAGCCTGAGTGGAAAATCTGACTCTTGAGGTCTGTCTGATTTGTGCTTTGTAGATACAGAAAAGGCCTTCATCAGGGTTTACCATCCATATGTTCTGAAGCCCACTAGGTGCTGCTTTTGAACTAAAAAGTCAGGAACGAATTCCAAATGAACCCCGTGCATATGTTTGGAACAACCATGAAAACAGATTTCTAGGTTGCAGCTGTAGTACTTTTATTAATCACATCTTCAGTCCCTGGGATGTAAGCCTTGCTTAAAAACGAAGTGAGGCAAGACTTGGAATCTCTGTGCTTTGTGCGGGAGCAGGCTGAGCTGCCTGTCCACACAGTTCACTTGAGAGCAGGGCAAACTGAATTGGGAGGGCCGTGGAAAGAGAGCCTGGGAGATGTACCCTTCAGCATGTTCATGTGGATCCTGGCCGACAGCAACACCAGAAAGGCAATGACAACTTCTGGGTGTGTGGATGACCACACACATGTTGGTCATCGATGTTCTTGCAACTGTTTCCCAAATAATATTTCTAGCTAATGTGTGAACAGGTCCCAGTCGCTGGCTCATTTACAAAGAGGATGGGCGTTAGAGCTGAACAGGTGCCTGCAGATGTAACTGGAAAAGGGTTCAGGTCCTATGAGTGCCAGAATTTGTCTTAGTTTGCTGGCTGTTTCAGAGCTGATGACATTTTCAAAAGGCCCTCCTCACAGCATTGGTGTTTCTGTCCCATCCTGGATTTAAAGTGCTGTGGATTTTATAAGTATTTTAGACTTATTTGGGCCCAGCTACTTCTCAGTTCTAAACTGGGCATTATGTAAATGGTCGTAAGGCTTTAAAAGTGGGAGTAGCCTGCAATATGCCTGACAGAATGTGCCTATTGTCTGAGAGTCCTCACTGGGTGGGAGATAGAAAAGAGACTTCATCTAAATTCGACTTGTAACTGGAGAGGTTGCACTGAAAATCAAGTTAGTTACCTGTGGGCACAGGAACAGCAGCAAGAATGAGACTAGAACCCTGAACCATTAGTTACAGCAGGCCTCCTTCAACCAAGTAAAGCTGAGAATTATAATAACGGTCTGAATTGTTTGGTCCAAGGACCATTTGGAGCATCAACAGGATGTCATATATTTATACAAAAGGGGAAGATTTTAATCTATCAAAATATATATCTTAAAAAAGAGAGAAAAACAATATAAATGTTGTTTCCAAATATTTACATCTTTAATGTCAAGTATATCACAGCAGTTGCTTTTTTCTTTTTCTATTTTCATGTCTGGGGTAAGCCCGTTGTTTGCATTACCCTAGCAGCAAAAGCATTCTATTTCCACTGTAACAGTACTTCTTGCCCTGTATTAAAATGTCCTGTTTACTTGGATCTGTCCCCACCGAGACCCTGCAACACAGTGGTATGCAGAGCAGACTCACAGCTGGTCACAAAAATCAACTGTCAGATTTTCAGAAATTTTGCAAGCCATTTCACAACAGGTTAGCAATTTGAAATCAGCCATGGGGGAAGTATTTACACCTCAGAAATTGGCAAATGGTACTAATTAGGGGTCCCTCCACCTCCACAGAGCCTGTTGTCAACACTGACCAGCCTTTTTCTGGTGAGAGATCTTATTTGTGTGGCTCAGCATTGTATCTTTAATTGTTCCTGGTATATAGTAGGTGCTCAGTTAATGTTTTTGGGGGGGAATTAATGATGCTTGAACGAAATGTTAAGTGAATGAAGATTTCTCTCAATTTCTAGTAATGCAAGAAGGAGCATTACATGGGACTCTCCACACCCGATCATAGCCAAAAGGCCGAGAAGCAATACCTGGGACTCTACAGATTATAATTCCTGGGAGAAACTGTAAGTCCTTGGCCCTTGGAGACAAGTGGATGTGGATTTGAATCCCAGCTCTGTCTTTAGCAGCTGTGAATTATAGGCAAGTTATTTTTCTTCTCTGAGCCTCTGAGGTCTTTTTCCTCTTCTGTAAGAAAGGTATAATAATACAACTTGAGGGATGGTAATGAGGATTAATAATAATGTTATGTAAGACACACAGCCTCTGTGCTAAGTCATCTTAGATTCATATCTCAAATACTGTGCATACTTTCCTTTAGACTCAAGATATTTCCCATTGCAATTCAGCTTTAATATATTCGAAGCACCTATGATTATCCAAAGTTATTTGTTGACTTATTTACTGTTTGTCTTTCATCAACAAAGTAAGTTTCAGAGATCAGGTTCCTTACCTGTCTGGTTTGCTTCTCAGTCTCCAATGCTTTGAATGGTACTTGATACACATAGTAGCCTTCTATAAATAGTCTCTAAATGAGCAAATGAGAAACAAATGAATGAATAAGTGGTAGTCCTATTTATTAGGTGGCCATCTATAGTAGGGGTCAGAAACTACAGCCACAGACCAAATCCAGCCTGCTACCTGTTTTTTTTGGGGGGGCAGGGGCAGGCTTGGTCTCAGGATGAAATTTATAACAAAGATGCAATGTGGCACATACTCAGTCCCTTTGCACATGTGGAATTTTGAGTAAATCATTTTGATCTTTCTACATGCTGCTTCACTGGGAAAAGGGAATGCCAATAACCAATATGCAGTTATTGGCAATAACCAATGCCAAAACATTAAGCAAAGTTTTATAGGAACGTAGCCATGCTCATTCATCGATGAATTGTTATGGTGACTTCTACATTAAAACAGCAAAGTTGGGTAATTGCAATGGAGCCTGTTTGGCCAGTAAAGCCAAAAATATGTAGTATCTAGCCCTTCTGAGTTAAGGAAAATGGCAGAATTTTGCTGACCTGTCATCTATAAGATCATCTCTGAAAGATACCGATTTAAAGTTCAGAAAATTGAGGAATTTTCTTAGCATCCCTAAATAAATTGGTGGTGACAAGGGAGAGGAAATGGGTCTCAGGGCATTGCAGCCTGACATCCAGAGACCTAAGGAGAGGAGGAAGGCGTCAACCAGCCACTTCCTCCAAGAAAAACATCTTCTCAGGCTCCCAAACAGATGAATATCTGGGCTGTTTCAACATATCTCAATGCAGATCTCTTTCCTCTGAGTCTGGGTGATGATTTTATTTTTTCCATAGGTTTTTTTATACTGGCACCAAAGGAAAATATGGGGAGCTTCCAAAAGAGAGGGTTTGAGAGAGTTTGAGACGGCAACAGTATAGCAAAAACATGCCTGGCACAGCTCCAGACTCTCATCATGACAGCAGTATCTAATTATTGCACTAAATTTTGAGAAACCTGATATTATGCAAACAAACTCCAGCTGCATTTTATGACAGCACATACAATTTTTATAAAATAATTTAAAATCCTTTTTATATGGAAAAATATCCTTCTCTTACAGTATTTAGAATTAACCAAATGTACAGTCTAATAGAGTCTAATAGCTTAATTCAGTACAAATGTTGGAGTACATTGAATTGGTCCTTTAAATGTTATGAAGAAAGAATTCTGCACTTTGTGCGCATGTAACCAAGGGCGGTATTTTCTGTTGCTTGCTCTTCATCGGCAACAGGAGGACTGTATCATTTGCTGTGGTGCTGGGGTGGTGATGGTAGTAAAAGTTCCATTTTCCAAGGCAGCATATGACTTGAAAGTTAAGGAAGAAGAAGTTAGGTAGGTAAAGAAAGGTAGAAGTGTGTTCTGGGCAGTGGAGTGACCTTTTGTTAAGGCTGAAGCACAGGGAGCGATGTGGGGAACTCCCTGGGGAGATGCTGGGAAGGGACCAAGGCAGAGGGAGCTGGTATCTCTAGAGCACTTATTCTGTGCCAGGCATAGTTGTAAGTAGTGTGCCTATGTTAACTCTTTTCATCCATACAACAAACCTATAAGATAGGTGCTGCTATTATCCTTACTGTATAGGTAAGAAAATGGAGGAAAAAATTGCCCAATGTCACATAGCTAGAAAGAAGCAGAACTTGAATTTAAACCCAGGAATCTGGCTCAAGAAGTCCCATTCTTAACCACCAGGACATGCTGAGGTTTGACTGTTGAGGCCCATGAGAGCTTCCTTGTATATGATTCTCAGGAGAATCTATTTAAAATAAAACTACTAGAATTAAAAATTAACTTTAGAATAAAAAATTAAATATTACTGGATACAAGCTCAATATGTATAATTAATTGTATTTCTATACAGCATAAAAAAGCCAATCAAAGATAAAAGTTGAAGAAATGCTATCATCAAGTGTACTAAAGGTGTCTTCTAAAGTCTGGGGGTGGGACAGAGAGCTAACAAAAATCCTGTTGAGATGCATTGAGCTTCACTGAGATCATCACAGCTGTTCTCCAAAACCAGGAGTGGAACAGACACAGTGAGAGAAATTTTGAGTTGTGCAGAAAGCTGAAGTTGTGACTTAAGAGTGCGGGGAACTCCCCAGTGACCCCCCCAAACTGGCAAGCAGTCTGTAAAGGAAAGTAAGGTGTCCCATGGTTCAGAAACGTGGTGTCTGAGCTGTAAAGCATAAAGAACCTTGGCATCTGCTATGGGCCAGATCCTGGGCTTTATGGGATGGAAAGTCCTAATCTCTCTCTTCGAACATTTGAATCCATGGTGAGCTAAATCTATTAAAGTACAACAAAGCTAGACCCAGTTTAAATATGGGTTGGATACCTCAATCCCTATTACTGGCAGCTTCTCAGAAGTGACATGGCCTGGCTATAAATTAATATTTACTTCAGTTTCTACTATCTTTTAACATAAAAACTTGAGACACATAAGGGAGCAATCAAATGCAATCCATGGTCAAAAGGGGAAAAAGACAGTAGAATCAGACCCAGAAATAGATACTATGTTGAAATGATCAAACTAGAACTTTAAAATAGCTATGATATATATATATATCAAATATATATTTAATAATATATTTAATCTATATTTGATATATATCAAATAACAAAATGATTTTAAAAAGAAGACCAGAGTCCTCTATACAGTATTCATGTATTCATGAATTATATGACTAAATATTATAAAGATGAAAATATTCCCCAATTGTTCTAGTAACTTAGTATAACAACAAATCAAAATACCAGCAGCTTTTTGTGAAAACTTGACAAGCATATTTTGAAATTTGTAGAAATTCAAGGGACCAAGAATAACTAAGATACTTTTAAAGAAGAAGATAGGTAAGGGAACTTGCTTTACCAGAAATCAAGGTTTATTACCATTATGTAATTATTATATACAATGTGGTATTGATACCACAATAGAAGAGTACAATAGAATAGAATAGAATCCCTGCCCCACCAAAAGACCCACACATATGTGAACATGTAATTTACAGCTAAATTCTCATAAACTGATGGAAAAGGTGTAATTTAATTCAACCTCTAAGTAAAACAGTTTAGCATTAGTTAATGAAGCTGAAGATTCACATGTCCTAGGAAGTGGCCATTTTTACTCCTTTAACTATAGGTTTATAGTTAGGGTTGCCAGATTTAGCTAATAAAAATACGGAGTGACAGTTAAATTTGAAATTTAAATAAAGGGCAAATAAACCTTTAGTGTAAGTATGCTCCATACAATATCTGAGACCTCCTTATTGTTAAAAAATGTTATTTATCTGAAATTCAGATTTAACTAGATTGCCTGTATTTTATCACTGTGTGGCAGTCCTAAATATACTTCTCAGAAATGGGTGCCAAGAAGCATGGATAGGGATGTTCATAGCATTGTTTGTAATCACCAAAACCAGCAAGCAGCCCCACAACACTGACCATAGAACAGGAAAGTAAGTTGTGGTATATCCATACAGTAGAATATTACAGGACAGTAAAGAGAGATGATTGCTACTAGCTAGACCTAACAACTACAAATCAATCTCATTAACACAATATCCAGCAAAAGAAATGAGACACCATAAACCTCTATCATTTACATATGTAATTTAAAAAAGAGAGAAACAGACAAATGAGACTGGTGTTTAAGAAAGTATGCTTAGGTGGTAAATTGTAATGAGAGTTTCGTGAAAGTTAAGACAGTGGTTACCTTTAGGTAGAGGAAGGAAGTCATCTGTGAGAGGGGCCAATGGGGGCTCTGCTTGCTAACTACATTCTATTGTTTGAGCTGGCTGGTGGTTACTCAGATGTTTGCTTCTGTGTTATATTTCACTTTTGGCAGATTTTTAAAAAGAACTAAGAATATAATATTTGTATAATTATTCTGTATAACTACCTATCCTTGTAATAAGTACTTGGTAGTTCTGTCTCTTTTCTATCCTGAAAGGAAATTCGCATAAAGTATAACTTACCTATATACTTAGTATTAACAACAGCAAAAAATTAAAATGTCTTAACTACAATATAAAGAAGATATAAATGTAATTTGTTAGGAAATATTGTGTACTTTAACAGGTAATACCCTCAGGTCTGTCTTCACTTAAAGACAAAAGGAAGTAGTTGGATGCTCATTCCTTTACGTTGTGTTACCATGGAGATGGCAGGGAAGTTGTATGAGTGGCTCCAACAGTCCATGAGCAGCTGTAAATAAAGGCTGTGCTTTTTCTGAAATGGTGAACAGCTCTTGGTAATGTTGTGGAGAAAGTTAAAAAACAAAAAACTTTCCTAAATTGCTAGAAAATGGCTTTATAACAAAACTGCAAAAAATATTTGCATTTATGTGAAAACAATATTCTGTGTTAAGACAGTTATAAACAAGTTTCTCAGCTACAGAATTGTCCTTTGGGAAGTTGAAAAATCATGCAAGTCTTGGGACATTTTTTTCTTTATGCTGAATTGTCAAAATTGACAGGATGTCTAACACCGCAGGCACCCCAAATGTGAGCCGTGTCCCCCAATCATTGTGTAACCAAAACAACTCCACAGAT